AGTCCTAATTTCAATACTGAGGGATTCTATGGGCAAAATATATAATGATTCAGAAAGCATTGAAATATAATGGAAGTGATACACAGAGTCACTGTACAAAAGAGAAATGGTCAGTGTTAAACCATTTCAAGAACTAGTAACACATAAACAAGAACTGATTCGTACTGAAGGAAACAGTACAAGATTCACTGAAGGCATTGGAAAAAAAACAAGCCTCCAGGAATTGATGAAATACAAATTGAAATCTATCAACAAACTGATGAAGCGCTGGAATCACTAATTCATCTATGCCAAGAAATTTGGAAGATAGCTACCTGGCCAACTGATTGGAAGAGATTCATATTTGTGTCCATTCCAAGTAAAGGTGACCCACGGGGTTGTGAAAAGTATTGAACAATATCATTAATACAACATGCAAATAAAATTTTACTCAAGATAACTAAAAAATAGTTTCAACAATACGTTGACAGGGAACTGCCAAAAATTCAAGCCAGATTCAGAAGTGGACATGGAATATCATTACTCCGTGGGATAACTAGAGATATCATTACTGAGATCAGATGGATCTTGGCTGAAAGCCAAGATTACACATAATGGAAAGGAACATTGCCAGGTCCTGTGCCATACTTAAAATTGTTGTTACATTTGAGCCCATTGTTGCTGCCTCTGTGTCAATTCATCTTATTGGGGGATCTTGCTATTTTTCACTGACCCTCCATTTTATCAAGCATAATGTCCTTTTCTGGGGCCTGGTCCTTTCTGATAACATGTATGAGAGATGAAGTCTCACCATCCAGGTTTCTAAGGGGCATCCTAACTGTATTTCTTTCAACACTGATTTATTTGCTCTTCTGGCAGATCATCATACTTTTACTATTCTTTGCCAACACCATAATTCAAATGGATCAATTCTTCTAAGGTTTTCTTTCACATGTATATGAGGTGACTGAAAATAACATGGTTTGGATCAGGAGCACCTTATTCCTCAAATTGACATCTTTTCTCTTGAACACTTTAAAGAGGACTTTTGCAGCAGATTTGCCTCATTTGATTTTTGATTGCTGCTTCCATGACCATTAATAGTGAATCCAAGTAAAATGAAGTCATCGTGTTATTAATCAGTTCAGGCGTGTAGTTTTTTGTTTTCTATATATTGAGGGGTAATCCATATTCAAGGTTTTAGTCTTTCTTCATCCTCATTAGTACTGCAAGTCCTTTTCAATGAAGAAAGTTCAGTTGTGCACATTGTCATTTCCTTTACCTTGAAGGGTAATCCATACTCAAGGTTGTTCTGTTCTTCCTTATAAGTACTTCAAGTTCTTTTCATTTAAAAATGTTAAAACAACCCCTTGCAAGATTGAGACTCAAGGGGAATACAGGAGCAGGCATGTGGTCTTGCTCGTAACCACACTGGTCTACTGATAAGGGAAAGTGGAGGAAAAACAGCAATGAAGTTGTGACCTAAGTCTGACCACGTTCAATAGACTCCTGTTAACCTGGATTGAGACCTGGTTGGCCAGGACTATGGCAAGACCCAGGAACTCCTGGGCCCAGAGACATGGACATAGCCACAGAGGACTAGAGTGGAGAGTGAAGCATCCAGCTGATATGAAGTGAGGAGAGATGCACAAGAACATACTTGCAGATAGTACACATTTGACTTGGCTTCAATGGCTGGATGATCAGAACTCTACTAGATGAAGAAAGAAGAAAAAAAAAAATAGTAATTTGCTACAATTTGATGAACTTGATCTATACTTATGGATGTAGTAGCTCAAAAGAGGGAACAAATCTTTACACCACCTCGGTACACAGGGTTGACAGGGATTGGTAACTTAAACATTGGCTACACAAAATGGGGAGCTACAAAAGCACGAAGTGACTGGCTTACAAGCTTTCAAGAGGGATCCTAGTTTCAGAGGGTGTGTGGAAGGTAGAATCTCCACTGAGTAGTTTCCAATCTGTCTGGACAGGGCTGATGAAAGGAGATGGGGATAAGACTCTTGTGATTCAATAGTGAATAATTGCTATCAGGACTGATTGTAAGTATTGCAAATGTAAAGGTAGATGTTTGGTAACAAAAGGACGGAAGTGGTTGATCTTGCAGTCTAGGAGTGGAGGACCCTGGGACCATCAAGGGAGAAGAGTGGAGTGCAGGACTCTATCCAGAGAAACAGTGATGCCAGAGATGGAGGCAGAGACGATGACATGGAGAGATGGAGCTGCTGGGGACTCTGGACTCACGGAAGGAGATGGGCTGTGTGCTGACATCTGGGGGGCCAGGCTTGCGAGGTGTATCCTTTGGTTGTTTGAATGGTTATACATTCCTGAGTACTTCAGTGTACATAAAAATAAGAAAGAAACAGAGGGAGCAAATGCTGTTGAATGATGATGCATGGAGGGGATTGCAATGAAACAAACTATGATAGGATAAATGCAAAGCTGATGTAAACTATTACTCAATTGACAATAAAAACTTAAAAAAAAAAAAGATGTTAAGACAAGTCCATGGGAATCAAAATATTATCTTGAGTAAGTCTCAACTAAATCTAGAGACCATTTAAAGAAGAGATTTGATGCATTAGACACTAATGAACGAAGACCAGTAGACTTGTGGGATAACATCAAGAACATCATATATGAGGAAAGCACAAGGTGGTTAAAAAGACAGGAAAAAATGAAAAGAACAAAATAAATGTCAATGGACACTCTGAAACTTGCTCTTGAATGTAGAGAAGCTAAAATAACTGAAATAAATGAAGTGAAAGATCTGAAAATTTTCAAAGGGCAGCTCGAGAAGACAAAGGATTATAAAAAGGGAAGAACACACTCAGCATTTCTCAAGCTTAAACAACTTGGGAGACATTGCCAACAAATCTGTGCCCATTCTAAAAAAGGTGACCCAATATAGTATTGAAATCACTGAACATATGGATATTGCAAGCAAAGTAGTATACTAGTCGGTAGAGATAATGTACAAGTACTTACATACTCGTAAGTGAAATTTACTTGTAATTTTCTACACAAATTATTTGTGGAAACCCATAACTATTGCCATGGAGTCAATTCTGACATATAGCAACCCTGTAGGTCAGAATAGAATGGCCTCTTTGGTGGTACAAAACTATAGAACTTTACAGAAGCAGACTACTACAGCTTTTTCTCCTAGAGTGGCTGGTGGGTAAATCTGGAAATGGAAATAACAATGTATTTCCAATGTATTACAATGAATACAATGGTTTACATATACAAGTAATGCACATATGAGTATTCATTAAAGAAACAAGTATGAATACTCCCCAGACAACCAAAACCTTCCAAGATTGGTTTTCTCAGTTTGAAGATTGGGGCCATAGTTTCATGGGATGACTCAGTTAACTGGCATAATATTGTGCACCAAAATCATGATCTGTATCCTAGTGAAGTTAGTAGCATCTGAGGTATTAGCTTGCAAGCAGTCACCTAAGACACAACCACGTATGTAATTGCCAGGCACAAAGCAATAAGAAGGTAACCAAAAGTTCAGAGAATGAACAAGTGTACATGAGCCACAACCCCATGTACCCTGGCACCAGAATTACATGTTGCCTGACTACCACATCCTGTAACTATTAAGGTTATGATAGTTGATCGTAGATAGAATGTTAGGAAAAGAAAGGAATTTATATTCTTACTTAAAAAACAAAAAACAAAACAAAACAAAAAAACTCAGGCAAACTGAAGCCGTAGAGAAAGAGGGCTCACTGAGATTATTACCCTGAGACATTCTTTAGACCTAGAATCAGCCACTCCCCTGAGATCACCTTTGACCAAAATAGTAAGAGTGCCACACAAAATTTCACCTTTAAGGTTAGCACCCTACTAAAAACCATTAGTATGAGACCAAAAGGTCAACAATTTCTCAGAAGCAAAGATGAGATGATAAGGGGAAGTTGTTGTGAAGTGCCATAGAGTCGGTTCCAACCCATAGCGACCCTGTATAGGGCTTCCGAGGAGCAGCTGGTGAGCTTGACTGCCGACCAAGCAGTTCAAGCAGCTTTGCAGTCTGGTGCATTAACCCACAGTGCCATACCAGGACTCCAATAAGGGGATAGGGAGTCTATAAAACTGAAAATAGAACAAGACACAAAGAGAATATTGACACACTAGATACTAGTGGTAACTAATATCACCAAACAATTTGTATGGAAATTATTAAATACGAACCTGCTATGCAAACTTCGGCCAAAGGCTCAGTAAAATTTTATTAAAAAATAGCAAGAGAAAGGGAAAAAGAAACATATAAAGACAGATAGAAACAAAGAAAGAAAGAAAGAAAATGGAAGGAAGCTCTGGTAGAAGAAGCAGAAAAAGTGAACTGGGGCACAAGGCCAATGCCTGAGGGGAGGTTTGGGGACATTCCTTTAAAGTGACTGATATGTACATTTGGTCTCTTGGAAGTAGATCATTTTAAAACATATCAAAATAATCTCTCTTACAAAGAACGAATCTTATTTTCAATATCCCAATGGATAGTCTAAAGTTTCTTTTTTTTCGCCTTTTCTAATCTCTACATAAGATACAATTAATTATCTTATAAAAATTTAATTTAAACCTTTTTCATTTGGTGTTGAGAATATACACAGCACAACATACACCAGTTCCCCTGCTTCTTCATGTACACTTAGGTGACATAATCCCATTCTCCAAGGTATACAACAATTTTCATTCTCTTTCTCAGTTATTTTTATGTAAGCATTATTTTCAAAATAATTGATTTTTATAAGTAAATTATCTTTTAAATGGACTAATAAGTGAACAATAAACTCTTTAAATGTAAGAAAACGTATTTATTATTATGTAAGAGACTTGTTCCCACTTTCATAAAATTGATCCAATTTTATTAAAATAGTGACATAGAAATAGATGGCTCCTTAAAAAATAGCCACATTGTAACCTGCAGGGTAAAAACAATACATGACCTTTGACAACTCAATAGTGCTTTCCCCATTTTCTTTCAGATTATCCAATCCTACCTGACATCAAAGGAATTGCATTGTATCAAAATAACCCTACTAAGGAAATCACACTAACTGGATTTCGTTCCCCTTTCACTGGTCAGTTAAATATTAATGCTCTAAAATACTTTTCACTATAAATTTCCTCTAAGAATCCAGTGATTTATTTATGCAATCTCTTTTCTAGGGGAACTCTTCTATGCTTTCCTGTGTATAACAGTCACCTGTGGAATCCTCCTTTTGGTTCTTCTCAAACTGAGGTAACTGGTTTCAGGGCTGGACTGGAACAGAAACAGTTAGTCATGTGAAAGCACCTGTCATGATGGTAGAGCTTACAAAGGGTCTGAGAATGAAAGCTCCAATATGACACTAAATTACTTTTTATGTGGGATAAGTCCATGAAAACATAACTCTCAGTCTTCATCCGTAAGGGAAATGTGATCATAGGGTGTTTTTTACGTTGCATTTTAATAGTGCAGGCACATCACATGCTCCCCTAAATTAAACTATCAACCTTGTCCCTGACCATCCTAAAAAACCCAAATTGAATTTTTATTTATTTCTTATTCAAATGAATTGCAGGACTGATCAGTTCACATAATAGATCTGTTACGTACTTCATACGATTTATGTTACCCAAACATTTATTTGTCACTTTAACTTTATATCTAATGATTTTATTCATGCTGTAATATCAAATCATTAAAAGGGGCATTTCACGAGACCTCACAAGGGTACACACTAAAAGACGTATTACTGATGCCTGAAATTCATTCACTCTTTCCAAATCTTCCTTTACCTTGGCTGCCTTCATTGATGGAATGTAGCAATGCTCCAGTGGGCATGTAAGATTTTTAGATCTAAAGATGCATTGATTTATAGATTTCTAAATGTCTAGAGTTTAAAAGTTTTCTTATTTAGCATTTATAAAACAGATCTAAAAAGTGTTCCATTCTTTACTTCTAATTCTTAGAAAAGATTTAGCCACATTTTAAAACATCAATCACGTTCATCCTTTTATTACACACACACACACACACACACACACATATATATATATGTAGTTGTGGCTGTAGAGTTGGTTCTGACACAGAGCATCTCAGTATAGGGTTTCTGAAGAGTGGCTGGAGAGATTTAACATCAGTCTTGTGGTTAGCTGTCTGGTGCTTATCCTGCAGCACCATATCAGGTGCTAGTATGGTGGTGGTGGTGGTGGTGGTGGTTTGAGGAGTCGGTTCCAACTCATAGCGACCCTGCATAGGGCTCTGAGGCTGTAATGTTATGAGAGCAGAAAGCCTCATATTTCTCCCATGGAACAGCAAGTCTTGAGGTTAGCAGCCAGACTTGTAACCACTATGCTACCAGAGCTCTTTGTATTGTTGTTGTTGTTATGTGCTGTGGAGTCAGTTCCCACTCATAGCGACCCTATACGGGGTTTCTAAGGCTGTAAATCTTTACGGGAGCAGAAAGCCTCCTCTTTCTTCTGTGGAACAGCTGGTAGTTTCGAACTGCTGACCTTGCGGTTCGCATCCTGATTCGTAACCACTATGCTACTAGCGCTCCTTTATATATGTGTATATGTGTGCATAATTTGAGTATAATAAATGTTAAAGAAGAAATATACACACACCCATGTAGGTACACTATATTTACCTGTAAGTTTTTGCCTAGAGAGGAACAATGATACTGGATATTTCTCTAATCTCATGAAACTTGGACAGAAAGACTCAGCTAACTACAATGCATGTATTGCTCCTCCAAGAATCTTAAATGCTAAGACATTTACAAGATAGAATGAAAGAATGAAGTTGAGATGCCTAAGGCAATACAAAGGATTATGGGATATATTGAATGTATACTCAGCATAAGGAAATACAGAAGAAAATGTTAAAACAACCATACCACTTGTTGGAGCAGACTTTCTAGATATTTAATTTACTGACAACCAAATATAATACCATTCTTTTTTTCCCAATGCCTTAAGGTTATATTTGAATGAGAAGATATTTCATAAGTTTCATGATGCTTGTTGAAGGTCAAATAATTAGAATAGATTTCTAAGAGGGAATTTGTTATATTTTCCTTTACTTGGTATACATTATTTGACGGCATTGTTTATTTACTATTCCTGAATAGACATTTCATCACAAATACTAAGCATTTATTAGCACAAATGCTAAACATACAGTTTGTGATTCATAGCACAAACTGTTTTCTGGTCCAGCAAAAATCTAAATTTAATGCTTCTTTATCTTTATTGCTTAGCCACATATATTATACTTAAAATTCACACCTGCCACACATATAAACCCAGGAATTTTTGTAGATAAATATTGTGCAATGAAATAAATCGATAAATAAGGTTTGGGCTATTCATTATTCTGTGTGTGTTAACTATATCTTCACGTCCCATCTCTCCTACATAGAAAAGCATATTACTTTCCTGGGTGAAAGAGGAAGGGTTATTATAGATAAAATCTTGAATTTACAGTAGTATACCTTCAAAAGGAATCATTCATACTATTAAGTGCATTAAACAAGTAATTTTACATATTATATAAAATCAATCATGACATAATATGAAATGTGTAAAACCAGAATTAGGTAAATAACAAAGATAAAAGCCACCATGGAGGGAAAGAAAAACAAAAGTATCATCAGCAACAAAACTTATTTTATTCTCAATCTGGGGATAATAAGTAATGCCTTCCTAGTAAAAGGATACTGGCTACTATTTCATGTATTGTTCACTCACCTGGTGGCCAGGCCTGATGCATATGAATTTTCTTCTGAGTAAGGATTCAGAGTTTTATATTATTTGATGGCATGCTAAATTAAAATAGCTCCAATTCTTCTATGATGTTTACATCGAAATAAATAATTTGAGAATAAAAAAAGGGTTTTTTGTATTTTTTAACCTTGAAAATGATTACTTGGAATCACAGTTCAATGCATGCTGCTCATTACCAAGATCATACACTATTCTACTACTTGGGATTTTATATCCAGAAACCAGATTTTTTTTTTTTCTCTCTCCAGACACAGATTGAAATTATACTCTTTCCCAAAATATAAGCACACAAATATGTTTGTAAAATCTTTAAATTGTTACATCATTAATGTTTACTTCTACTTTTATATAGAATCTGCAAGATAACTAGTCAAACAAGAAATCCTTCATCAATCCAAAGAGGAGGCTTCATGATTCATTAAAAGTCATGGATCTTTAACGATCACTTCATTTAAAATAAATCTTTATATCCAGTCTACAGCGTATTCTATTCATATTCAATAAAAAATGTTAAAATTGATTTAATGATCCTGTATCAAGTATAATAATGTAACTATGGTGTAATAATATGGCATAATGATGTTAGATTTACTATTTTTAAGAAAACATTCAAGTAAAACTAAAGCAGTGTGATAAAACATTGGCACAGAATAAAAGTCTCCCTTGTGGACAGAAAGTGTAATCCCACATTGTATTTTTCATGATTATTCTTACTGTAAACATGAATTCACATGATATTAATTATTTATTTGTAACCTAATAAAATATATTGTAGTTTCAACTTTACAGATTTTCATTAACTTGCCAAAAGGGAAGTGTTAATAAAAAATATCCAGTATACTTAACTATTTACATATCCTTATTCAATTTTGTTGTTGTTAAGTGCCTTTGAGTCGGTCCCGACCCCTAGCGACCCTGTATCCAGTTTTCGAGGATCCGTTGCTGAGCTTGAACTGCTGATCTTGCAGTTCAAATAGACTTTGCATTCCAGCGAATTAACCCACATCGCCACAAATTATTATCATCAGCTTTAAGTTATTAAATATACTAGGTTAGGTGATTAGTAGTGATGGTGGTAGTGTGCGGTAATGTTGTGACTCATAGCGACCTTGTATGGGGTTTCTCACGCTGCAAATTTTTACGGGAGCAGAAAAGTCTCATCTTTCTCCCTCTGACGACTGTTTTTTTGAACTATTGACCTTGCAGTTAGCAGTCCAACGCAAAACTCACTACACTATCAGGGCTCCTTGCCTGGGTGATTTGTTTTCACCCAAAATCTTTGGATTTTTACAATTTGAAAATTGTTTAATTATATTTTTTTCTTGGATATCTTTATTTCAGACCTATAAGATGTGAATCAACTGCACTGACTGAAAAAAAGATCAATATGTATTTCAGTTGAATATATCCTTTGCTAATTATTATGAACTTCTGCGATAATACTGTTATCACTCCAAGTTACTTTCTGTTGACATGATTTGATGCCGTAATATAATTATGATTTGACAATTGGGTAATGGCCGTTATTAGATAAAATTTTGATAAATACATGCTTTTTGACTGTTTATAATCATAGGGTAGCCATTGCTCAGAATAACCATGAAGTTATACATTATTTATAATAACTGTTGAATCTGAAGAATGAGTATTTAAAAAGGTTAGGCTATCTTGCAAATAGTTAATGGCATTCAATGAAGTTTCAAAACTTCTGTGGAAAACTTCAATTATCTTTTAATTCCATTTTTTCATGAACAATTTGGAGCCCACACATACTTACAATTAAAATTCAAATATTTTTCCCAGTTTGATCTCATTTCTATTGTTTGTTACACCTGGACCTGAATTTTCCACATTAACTTAAATTTGAAGTCAACTTTTGGCTGTTTACTCAGTGTAATTGAAATGTAGTCTTGTTTGTTTTAAATCAGGGTAGAATAATATGGTAAATCATTAATCTCTCTCTAAAGGAGTTCTGGAGTCCTGATCTGGCACTTTGGGTTAATGAGCTGGACTGCAAGGTCACTTTGAGCCTCAAGGTCAGTGGTTCAAGCTCCCCAGCTGCTCCCTAGAAACCCTACACAGGGTTGCTATGGGTTGGAATTGACTCTACTGCATTTAACAACAATAACAAACGTAGTTCTATATGCTCCAGTGATTGTTTAGAGAGTTATGTGAAGAATACATAAGCATTTCTGTGTTGAAATCTCTGCCATTGAATTTAGGCTTGGTAATATGGAGTCCAAGGAGCTCTGGTAGCATAGTGGATGTCAGTCGGGCTGCTAATCTCACAGTCAGTAGTTTGAAATTAACAGCCGTTCCAAGGGAGAAAGATGAAGCTTTCAGTTTCCATAAAGATTTACAGCCTTGGAAATCCTATACTGGGTCACTATGAGTCAGAACCAATTCAGCAGCACATCGTTTGGTACTGTAGGATAAACACTAGACCTCAAGGTGGGTTTGAACCACAAGGTTGGTGGTTCAAATCCACCAGTTGCTCTTTGGAAACCTTATACAGTGTCACTATGATTCGGAACCACTTAAGAACAACAACTGAGAAGAGCCCTGATGTGGCACTGTAGGATAGACACTAGAGAGCTGACTGCAAAGCTAGCACTTCAAACTACCAGTCACTCTTAGAAACACTATACAGGATCACTATGAGTTGGAACTGACTCAACGACAGCACACAACAACAATATCTGGGAATGCGTTGGTCTGCTAATCACAAGGTCAGCAGTTCAAACCCCCCAGTAACTCGATGGCAGAAAAATGAGGCTGTCTGCCCCATAAAGATTTACAGCCTCAGAATCCAGTGAAGCAGTTCCCGTCTGTTTTATAGGGTCACTGTGAGTCAGAATGGACTCAGTGATAGTGGGTGGCAATATCTGGGGAAACTCAAAACTATTCCTTACTGGAGAACGAAATTAAGTTACTTTTAGAAATAAGTTTGTGTTCAGCAAAGTGGAAGGCAAAATGTGAACTAGAAGGTCTCCCTGCAAAACAGAATCTTATCTTTTGAGCCAGTAAACTTGATTAAGCCATTCTAAGCAAAATTGCTGAAGCAGGGATTCATATGGAGCATTATCTCCATATAGTCACCTCTCTTGAGGGCAGAAGGTCCAAGTTAAGAAAATGCAGGACATAAAACTTACGGACATCAGAAATGGGATACTAAAGGTTCTTAATCACTAGGTTAAGGAGTTAAGACATAAATGTAACTAGTGAATACTAAGTCAGTCCTTCAGTATTATTCGTTTGTTTTAGTTTGTTTGAAGAGTTTTATGGTTTTAGTTCTTAAATTTATGTCCTTGATCTATTTTGAGTTGCTCTTCATATATAGTGTGAGGTTTAGATCCAGCAGTATTGTTTTGCTTGTGGAAATCCAGCTGTTGCCTAGGTTTGAACTTTTGACAGTTTTAGAAGCTGAATGTCTAACTCATCATTTATGAAGAAGATTTTATTCATTCCCCATTGTATGAACTCAACACCTTTGACAAAAATCAATGGAGTGTAGATGTGTAAGTTTATTTCTGTACTCTCACTTCCAGTCCATTGGTCGATACAACTATTATTATAGTAGTACCAGAATGTTTCAAATATTGTAGTTTTAAAGTATGTTTTGAGATCAGTAAGTTTGAGTCATCCTACTTTGTTCTATTTTTGCAAGATTACTTTATTTATGGCTCCTTGAAGTCCAATTTGAGGAGTATCTTTTCCATTTCTGCAAAAAAAGGTACCAAAATATTGATAGATACTACATTGCTTCTATAAATGGTTGATATCATAACAATAATAAATCATCTGATCCATGAACACAGAGTGCCCTTCCATTTATTTTGTTGTTGTTGTTGCTAAGTGCCATTGAGTTGGTTCTGACTCCTAGGGACCCTGTATACAGTCTGGTGAGTGTGAACCTCCGACCTTGTGGTTCAAACCAGTCTTGTAGTCCAGCACATTAGCGCCACACCAGGACTCCATTTATTTAGGTCTCCTTTAATTTCTCTCAGCAATGATTTGTAGGTTTCTATATATACATCCATCACTTCTCTGGCTAAATTTATTCTGGGGCATTTTATTATTTTAAAGGTTATGGCAAATGAATTTCAATTTTCTTTTCAGAATTTTCATTGCTGATATAGTGAACCTCAACAAATTTTGGTGTTTTGACCTGTATCCTGTCATATTACTGAATTTTCTTATTAGCTCTAGTAGATTTATGGTGGATTCTTTGGGTTGTTAAATGTAAGATCATTCCTGTTGTTGTTGAGTGTCACCGAGTGAGTTCCAACTCATTACAACCCTGTACATAGGGTTTCTGAAGAGCAGCTGGTGGGTTTGAACTGTAGACCTTGTGGTTACAGTTGTGGTTAGCAGTCCAGCACCATACCAGGACTCCAAAAAGGTATAGGTTTTTCTCCTTTCTTCCTTATTTGGATACTTTTTGCTTATTTTGTTTGTCTAATTCCACTGTGTAACACTTTTAGTACCATATTGAATAGTAAAGGTGAAGTTAGTCGTCTTTGTTTTGTTCCTTATCTTAAGGGAACGTTCTCAGTCTTTCTCTATTGAGTATGATGGCATTTGTAGGTTTTTCAAAGCTTCCTTTTATTATATTGAAGAATGTACCTTCACTTCCCAGCTTGTTGAGTGTTTTCATCATGAGAAAAGGTTGATATTTTGTTACTTGTCTTCTCTGAATTGATTGAAACAACTGTGTTGTTCTTTACCATTGTCCTATCATTGTGGTATATGAGGGTCTTCAAAGACCTCATATAGAGAATTGAAGAGTCCAACAGACTAATGGAACTTGGAAACGTCAGTTTCCATGACTCTGAGACCAGAAGAACTCAACAGTTACCAGCTGCCACTACCAACTGCTCTACAAGGGATCACATTAGAAGGTCCTAGAGAGAGCAGCAGAACATGTAAGTCAAAACTCAAAATTATTAAAAGAATAAACTAAAAGGACTCGGCTGACTGGTCAGAAAGAGACTGGAGAAACCCGAGACTATGGTCCTCGACCACCCTTCAGGTCTGGAAAGAAACTTACCCTCGTGGACCAATTTTCAGCTAAGCAGTACATCGTTACATAGGTGGAACAACAACCTACTAATGTATGTTCACCATGGAATGGGCAATCACTCAAAATCAAAACGACAACATTTGTCTAAGGACAAAGTTGAGAAGGGATGGGAAGGTGTATGGAATGGAAATATGAACCACAGGTAAGAAGCAGGATAACTGTTGTTGCATGGAAGAAATTGTAATCACTGAGCTTAAGAATAGTGTATGATGAATTGAATATAAAACTGATGATCTTTTCTGTAAACCTTCACTCAATTCACAATAAAAAGTTAAAAAAAAAAGTTCATATAAAAACTTCATTCTTTTTAATTCTATTTTTTCAAGACCTTTTTAAAAC